GTTTTAATAACAATTATATTAAAAATACATTAGAAAAAAAAATCGTTAGTGATGGCTAAAATGTGTTTAAGGCTACAAATTAAAAGAAGTAATTATTTTGTCTAATCTTTTTTTTTTTTGTTATACTTCTCTATATATTTAAACTTGTCTAATCAATATACATCTAATATATTATTCTGGACTATTATAATGATAATAAAAATATGTTAGTAGTATATTTTAATATAATTAATTTGTTAGTTTTTATTTTTTGCTTCAATCTTTTTAAAGTCAAAAAATTTCATAATTTAAAGTTAAAAATAGTAAAAGATAATTCAATAGATATTAAGAATTAAAATAAGTATTAGAAATTAATATAAAAATTTTAAATCGGAGAAACTAATAGTACTATTTATGAATTAAAATAATAATTGGTCAGATATTAAATGATAAATTTAAAATATATTTTTATTTTTGTAATAAATCAGTTTAAAAAGAAATATTAAAATAACTTTTTAGAGACAAGTTTTATATGACGGTGTAAACAATTTATATCATTAATAAATATATATATTTTAAATAATATTTTTAAAGCAATAAAAACAAACTATATTTTTCTACATTTAATTTTATTAAAGGATCAAGTAATGATTAACGTTTTGAAGATTGATATGAAAATTTTAAATTTGAGAAATTGATAGTGTTATTTAAGAACTAAAATAATAATTTATTATATATTAAATGATAGATTTAAAATATGGTTAAATATGGTTTTAGTCCCTAACGTATCACATGATTTTGGGTTTAGTCCCTACTTGAAACTTTGATTGCTTGTAGTCCTTATAGTTTTGAAACTATTATAAATAGTCCCTAATTTTGGATGGCGTTAATTTTTGTTTGACGTGGCTAACGGCCAGCCCGTCTGATGCCAGGTATGAGTTTATCCTCTCCCACATTTTCTTTTCTTTTTATTCCAAATTTGCACACAACCCCCTAATTTCTTCAATGTTTACACTTCACATGGCAGATCCAAAGGCACCTCTGCCAATAAGTTTTCCTTCTTGCCACTGGTTTTTCATTGGGAAAGGTTCCGTCTTAGCCAACAAGGAAAACTGACGCATTTTCGCAGACGCAACAAACCAACAAGGATATCCTGTTTGCAAGAACAAAGTTCGCTCAAGGTCATTACTGTGTTTCGACAACAGGTTTGATTCATAATTAAAGAGGGAAAATGGCACAAGCAATAAAGAAAAAGGAAGGGAGATCAAACTACTTGTTGTGTATCTTCATATGATAGAAATGTTTCCCAACCCTCATTTGCCATATAATCACGCCGAACAAGCTCCACCTCCTCTGGCCTAATTTGGTGGTGAATATCCTACAGAGAGATAGAAAATGTTTGTGGGTTGCTCCAAAATGGTATCAAAAAATAAATTGTGTCAGCAGTCTTTGTTACACAAAATTCCCAAACAAAATCAGCTCTGCACAATAACCTGGATTCCAGCTTCCCTGGTCCGAACATCACGACATTTCAATCCCAAGTCTTCCATTTGAGCTAATGCTAGCTCCCTCAAATTCCCTTTCTCAACCCCGGAGGTAACCAAAGGCATAGGAATATCCCGCTGAACTCTATAAACACGTGTCCATGGTGGTACCATTGCAAGGATCCTTGCTATGATGTCCACAAGTTGCTCT